TACTTAACAAAAAGGTACTTAATTATAGTGTTTTGGAAAGCTCTCGAGATAAGCTACAAGAATATGTAAAGAAAAAATGTAGGTTCCATTTAAGAAATTGAAGGTGACCCTCATGTGACCTTCAAATAACTCTTCAAGGTCAAACCAATGATACCACCTTATGTCCCCCTAGAAACCATACAACTTTTGTCTGAAACATTTTTCTCTAAATTCAACAGCGTTGGAAATATTCGCCTGGCTAGAATGAAACACCCTGTATATTATATATACTTATTCTATTTATATATTTTTATATAATTTGCTTATATATTAAACAAAATATACATATATACATATATATATATATATATATATATATACAGGGTGATTCATTTTAATCGCCCCAGGCGGATATTTCAAATGCTGTTGAGTTTAGAGAAAAATGTTTCAGACAAAAGTTGTAGGGTTTGGAAGGGGACATAAGATGGTACCATTGGTTTGACCTCGAAGAGTTATTTGAAGGTCACATGAAGGTTACCTTCAATTTCTTAAATGGAACCTACATTTTCTCTTTACATATTCTTGTAGCTTATCTCGAGAGCTTTCCAAAACACTATAATTAAGTACCTTTTCGTTAAGTACTTTTTGAGTTATAAGGCTTGAAATCATTTCTTAATTTTACATAAATCATAAAATATCTAGTAAAATATTCATTTTTCGATTATCTTACCTTAATACTTTTATGTACAAAATAATGAGAGGAATCAATTGGTGTAAAGAAAACACATAGTTGTTTCTAAGAAAAAATATGTAATTTGCAATTAACAATTACATATTTTTTCTTAAAAACAACTGTATGTTTTCTTTACACCAATTGATTCCTCTCATTACTTTGTACATAAAAGTATTAAGGTAAGATAATCGAAAAATGAATATTTTACTAGATATTTTATGATTTATGTAAAATTAAGAAATGATTTCAAGCCTTATAACTCAAAAAGTACTTAACGAAAAGGTACTTAATTATAGTGTTTTGGAAAGCTCTCGAGATAAGCTACAAGAATATGTAAAGAGAAAATGTAGGTTCCATTTAAGAAATTGAAGGTGACCTTCATGTGACCTTTAAATAACTCTTTGAGGTCAAACCAATGGTACCATCTTATGTCCCCTTCCAAACCCTACAACTTTTGTCTGAAACATTTTTCTCTAAACTCAACAGCATTTGAAATATCCGCCTGGGGCGATTAAAATCACCCTGTATATATATATGTATATATGTATATATATACTTTTTTAAATATAATATCTCTTAGCAAATTAGACTAAAAAAAGAAGTGATATGATCCTCAAAAACTTATCTTTTTAAAAAAAGGTAAAAGAAGGGCGCCAAGTTCATGCACTAATTGTATTCAACTTTCATATTGTCTACAAAAGTAATATATAAAAAAATTGCGCCAACTAAGAATAAAAATTTGTACGAGAGAAATAGAAGTACAAGGGAGAAAACTTGTACAAGTTAAATAGAAACTCTCCTCCTAGTACAAGTTAAATAGAAATATTTTAATTGAAAGCATTGTTATACAAAATAGTTTTAATTTTCAAAAATAATAATATTAAAAAATTAAAAATTTATTTAAAAATTGAAAACTGAAAATTAATATAAAACAAGAAAGTAGAAAACATTTTAATTTAAAAAAACTTGGCGCTGCCAATAAAATTGGTATATATTCTAATTAAATATATATTTAACAGCAAATATAATTGCTGGACATTTATTATTAATTCTTTTAAGATCTTCAATCTCTTCTCTTAAGATTAATTCTCTGGATCTTCAATTAATAATTTAATTATTATAATTCTTATCATTTTCATATTATTTTCACAAATTATACTTTTTATTTTAGAAATTTCTATGAGATTTATTCTTATGTTTTTTCTATTTTATCAACTTTATGTAGTATGGAAATCTAAAAGATTGGAACATATTCCAATTATTAGTCTAACATTTAAATTTAATGACCTAACCTAACCTAATATTTTAATTAATTTATATTGATTTACATTTGGAAATTTAGACTTTTAAGCTGAACAATATATTAATAAAATTGGCAGCGCCAAGTTTTTTTAATTAAAATTTTTTTTACTTTCTTGTTTTATATTAATGTTCAGTTTTGAATTTTTAAACAAATTTTTAATTTTTTAATATTATTATTTTTGAAAATTAAAACAATTATTTTGTATAACAATGTTTTCAATTAAAATATTTCTATTTAAATTGTACAAGTTTTCTTCCTTATACTTTTATTTATCTTGTACAAATTTTTATCCTTAGTTGGCGCAATTTTTTTATATCACTATTTTTGTAAACAATATGACAGTTGGATACAATTAATGCATGAACTTGGCGCCCTTTTTTACCTTTTTTTAAAAAGGTAAGTTTTTGAGGATTATACTATATACGCGACTATTATTTTATTACCTTCTTTGCATTCTACTAAATATTACTTTTAACTATTAATAACAATACTTTTTAATAATATTAATTTTAACTATTATTAATAATATTACACTTGAGTATTTTTATTAATTATTTGCTCCACAATTAATGATCCAATAAAAAATTAGATAATTTTTTGACTTGGATTATAATTAACATTGCTGTATCATCAATTGTATAATCTGCCGTCATTATGACAAGCATATTCTATCCTTGCTGTATTTCTGCTATCACATCATGATGGCAAGACTTCATAATTGCCATATTTTTATCGACACGGCATGTTGATAAGTCATACTTAATTTTTTTGCATTTTTGCTTTCACATTATATCAAAAACTTATGCTAGTAGAAAGTAAACAATTGCGGATACAATGGAAGAATCTACTGTAAAGTCATAATTAGATCTGCTGTTATGATGCTAACTGCTGCTAAAATCTTATAATTATACCTGGCTATTTAATAATAATCCAAAGTCTTTCTTTATAAGAGCTGATTATTTATTTTTCATGCGATATTTATGAAAGAAAGTTTTCAATATCATTTCTATCAGTTATAAATACTGATACACTCATCAGTTAAAAATTATGTAAATTGAAATAAAAAGCAATTAATTATACTTTATGTTATATAAATCGCTAAAATGTTTTATCATATAAGAATAACCATCTAAGTAGAATATTACTGGAAAAAATGTTCTATTTCGTACATGTATATATGCCATGGATAAAATATATTAATAATATTCATAAAAATTGGCTGCAACCATCCATCTGTTATTTGATTTGTTATAATTTGAACCATCTGATTTATACATTTTTATTTTCTTTTTTATCAAAACAAATGAGTTTTAAAATTGAATAAAAAGAATGCTTTGACAAAGTTAAAAATTCTTTCTGGTGTAATATTTAATAGTTCTTTAAAATTTATATAATTAGTTACTTCATCACAAAATTAATCTCTCAAGCACTTCCAGTAACATCAGCATTCAAAAATCACAAGAAATCAAATTTTCAATTTCTAACATTCTTTTTCCAACTTATTTATCATTCCAAAAAACTAATGACATGCGATTATTGTCAAATTTATTTTTTCTTTGTAAAAATCTAATAATCATTTGCACATTAATAATTGATTTTTAATTATTGGGAAACTTCTTTGATTCAAATAAAATATCTAATTTATTAATGCATTTTCTTCTTCTTTGAAAGAGCTATAGTGATTCAGATATTCTTCTACATAAACTTTTTCCTTTTTGCATCTAAAGTTGAATGAAAAATGTTAAAATTTCTTTCTGGCAATGTATATTCCTGCTTTCAATGCATTCATCCCTGCATTTATTGCAAATAATACTTCTTTCAATTATTTATATTTATAAGCTATATGTATGCTTATTATGTTTTTGTATTTTTTCTACTCATATTGCAGCTGCAAACTTGATATAAGTACAAAATACAATTTATTACAATTATATTAATGAATGTGTAAATATATACATGTGTGTGTGTGTGTGTGTGTGTGTGTGTGTAAATATATATCACATGTGTATATATTTACAAATTCATTAATATATTGTATTTATATTGTGTGTGTATATATATATATATATTATATATATATGTTAAAAAATACTATAATAATTATTTCACTTATATGAATTTTAATACGTATTAAAATTATTGTCCATAGCACAAGTAACAAAAATAAACAGATTATACTAACTATCAATGTTACATTCATTTAAGACAACACAAAAAAGTCAAAAAAATGATAAAACGTCTTTAAGTTATTTTTTGACCTTTTTTTAAGGATATATATTGTCTGGGATCATTTTGTGATTGATGTTCGTAATACTGTATATATGTTGATAATTTTAGATAATGTTATATACGTAATACTGTATGTGTTGATAATGTTAGATAATGTTATTATCAAAGACAAAATAAACATATTACCAATATTAATAATTATATAAATTAATAATTTGCTGAATATAAATTAATAATATGTTATTATATAAATTATTATTTTGTTTTTTGCTCATATTACATCATATTAAAACAAAAGTTTCAGCGAAATTTACAGTTTAAAATTTTGCAACAATAATTACATTTGTTAAAAATTTTATTGAAGTTTATATAATTTTAAATTATAATTTAAAAATTGTATATATATATATATATATATATATATATACGTATATGTATGTATGTATGTGTGTAATATTACATAATATATAATATATAATTTTCATTTCGAAAATTATTTAAATTTTGACTTAATATGAATACTGTCAATAACGTGATATTCATAAAATTTATATTAAATATCTTATCTTAACAAGTAAATTTTTATCTCAATTTAAACATTCAAATTAAACATTTTCAAATCACATATATATATACACAAAAACATGAACTAAAAGTACATATTTTTTCGTAAAAATTTATTAGAGTTTTTTGGAAGATTAATTATTGTTTAATCCAAATTTTTTTATATAACCAAAGAAAAAAAAGAAATCTAACCTCACCAAGTGCCGTTAATTCCTTCTTTTGTCTAGCATTAAGTTTTTTCTCAGTTTTTAGCGCAGTTTTCACACTGCCACTTATTTTATTTTTATTTTTTTTGTCTTTCTTTCCCATTATTTTTTATGCTATAAAATCAAATCGATACTAAATAAATATCCTTTTTTAGCTCAACTGGCTACACCAGCTCAAAAAGTGTACATTGAGGGCTCCTGCACACAGAACGCGGTAACACTTGTCGCGTGGCGGAAGCCGACGCGATAGCCAATCAGCAGATATATAATATCCATCGCGCGTCAAGTTGAACTCAATCCAACTTTTGTATTGGCTATCGAGTCGGCTTCTGCCGCGCGACAAATATTGCCGCGTCCTGTGTGCAGGAGCCTTGATTGCGTTCAGCAGGAAAAGCTGCTTTGCAACTGTTGTAAAATTCGTGAATCTGATTGGTATATGCTCTTAGGCCGGTATTCATCATAGGTATTCATAGTCCAGTCTCAAGCCAGATCTACATTGGTCGTATCGTAACGTCGCAAGTCGTAAGTCGTAGGCAAATTGATCAATCATGATTGGGTGCTTTCCAATTGTTTAACACATCTTAACACAACATACACAGGGTGCTTTCCAATTGTTTAACACATCTTAACACAAACATACACAGGAAGGCACAAAGTGTAGCGATGTGCACGACTCAATTGGAACAAAGTTAATGTGCGACTTTCGAGTGGAGGGTTAGGATTCTTCATAACCATGTCCATCTTGATATTTTTTAATCCATGCTGAGGGTGATAGCATCGATATATAAAATGGATTGACCATTGCGTGTAGACAGGCATCAAATTCGATGAAAGTTTCTTGATCATCACTCAAACAATAAATAACGCCCTCATTCGAATAAATAGTTTTTTCCTTAAAGCAAATATGTTCATACAATTCTTCTCCATTTGGTAAAAGGGAAAAACATGTTGCACACGTAAAATTTGTGTAATTAGTCTGTAAATAATTCGAAGCAAAGTTATTAACATACATAGATGTATATATATGCATAATATTATATAATATATAAATAATATATAAATAAAATATATAAATGCATATTATATTAATATATAAATATGAATGAAAATTTAATCAGTAATATATCTAACCTGCAAATATGCAAAAGAGACAATTTTATTTTATTTATTAAATATAATAAAAAAATTAATTGTACAAAAACTCATTAATTTGAATTACTTACTTCAATGATACTTTTAATATTTTTATTGTCCATTTTTGTATTTGTATGGTGTACTTTAATGGTTGTCTTTTAATTAAAAAGGATAAAACGAAAAGAAAATTGCCAACATAATCGCCGTCAGTCTGTAACCGCATATTTCATTTGTCCCTAGAAAACAGAAGGTTACACAAGTTGACTAGTAGCCCTCGAGCTGAGTACGGATGTGTAAAGTTGTGTCGGCAGTTACGGCAATTGGAACGCGACTTGTGTCGCCGTGTGCATAAAAGTGTCTAGGGATATCTCAATTGGAAAGCACCCATTGATTATTTCTGAAATAATCGACTATGATTGGTCAATTTGCCTACAACTTAAGGCCATTCTACAATGGCCGTAGCATAAAGGTTTGTTCGCGTCGCATGCTCCAATGTACTCCAGAGAGCTTGGATCACAAGATGGCGGTTAGAGCAGATGAGTTCATGCACCAACGTTTAGTGACACGAGGCACTTTTCCTTCTTTTTTTGTTTCCAACCAATCACACATTATTGACAACATCTTGATGCTTTTACTGATTTCAATATTATAATTAATAATATTATAATTCATAATATTAATGATGAATTTGTAGAACAAAATCTATTACCCTTGGCTATTAATAATTTTGAAAATGAAAACGATGACGAAATGGAAAGTGAGTATTAAAAAGATGTAGAGTTCTAATCTTGTGTTAATATAATTTCTAAAGATTGGTTTTATGTTAAATTCGCCTTTTTTTTAGTTTGTGCATTTTTATTGAATTTTATATAATTTATATTTGCAGATATTGCTGTTAACGTAATTATTGAAAGGAAGGTTTCGTCTGACGACCTAGAACATGCATAACCGACTATGTTGAACATACAGTGCCTATATATACAGATAGAGAATTTGTTTTGCATTTTCGTTTAAAGAATTTATCCATCAATTCATATTTTATATATTACGCATGCGCGCACATTTGCACCTATGCAAGTTTGTCTGGATAGGCCCTAAGGCGTAAAGGCTATAGCACACACTTTCCATAAGACATAACAGTAAGGTTTCGACCAATCGCGTTGCTCAATTTGGTTACGGTTTACGGCCAAATTGAGCAACGCAATTGGTCGAAACCTTACTGTTATGTCTTATGAAAAGTATGTGCTATAGCCTTAAAGGCCGCAGCACACACTTTTGCATAAGCGCATAACCATAAGCATAAGAAAATTGATTGGTTCATTTTCTTATGCATATACTTGAGGACCAATCAATTTCCTTATGCTTATGGTTATGCGCTTATGCAAAAGTGTGTGCTGCGGCCTTAAGGGCCTATCCAGACAAACTTGCATAGGTGCATATGCATAACATAAGACTATATGGACCAAAGAGCATCGAGTATTAAATCGCTATATTGACTTACATAACATAATACTCGATGCTCATTGGTCCATATGGTCTTATGTTATGCATATGCACCTATGCAAGTTTGTCTGGATAGACCCTAAGACTTAAGAAATTGATCACAGTTAAGTATTAAGAGAATACTCGACTGTGATTGGTCAATTTTTTTAGCTTATGCCTTATAACCTTAAGGTGCAATTTCATTGACGCTAAAAAGTAGCGTCAACCATTGGTTAAACAATGGGTGCTTTCCAATTGAGATATCCCTAGACACTTTTATGCACACGGCGACACAAGTCGCGTTCCAATTGCCGTAACTGCCGACACAACTTTACACATCCGTACTCAGCTCGAGGGCTACTAGTCAACTTGTGTAACCTTCTGTTTTCTAGGGACAAATGAAATATGCGGTTACAGACTGACGGCGATTATGTTGGCAATTTTCTTTTCGTTTTATCCTTTTTAATTAAAAGACAACCATTAAAGTACACCATACAAATACAAAAATGGACAATAAAAATATTAAAAGTATCATTGAAGTAAGTAATTCAAATTAATGAGTTTTTGTACAATTAATTTTTTTATTATATTTAATAAATAAAATAAAATTGTCTCTTTTGCATATTATTTGCAGGTTAGATATATTACTGATTAAATTTTCATTCATATTTATATATTAATATAATATGCATTTATATATTTTATTTATATATTATTTATATATTATATAATATTATGCAAAATTACCAATGAGATACTAGCAAAAGAGACAGACATAGGCCTCGCATGTAGTATCTCTCTCTTCACCGCGGGCTGACGCCTGTCTACACGCAATGGTCAATCCATTTTATATATCGATGCTATCACCCTCAGCATGGATTAAAAAATATCAAGATGGACATGGTTATGAAGAATCCTAACCCTCCACTCGAAAGTCGCACATTAACTTTGTTCCAATTGAGTCGTGCACATCGCTACACTTTGTGCCTTCCTGTGTATGTTTGTGTTAAGATGTGTTAAACAATTGGAAAGCACCCAATGAAGCAACTACTTATTTCTTTGTTCAATCAATGGTTGACGCTACTTTTTCGCGTCAATGAAAAGGCCGCTTTAAGCTACGGCCATTGTAGAATGACTTTTAAAGCGTCGTCTACAATGGCAGTAGGATTAATGGATTAAAGCTGTAACTCAAGAAATCGAGTATTCTTTTGATGCTTGACTGTGATTGGTCAATTCTTAAGTTACTGCTTTAATCCATTAATCCTACTGCCATTGTAGACGACGCTTAAGGCTATAGCACATACTTTCCATAAGACATAACAGTAAGGTTTCGAGCAATCGCGTTGCTCAATTTGGCCGTTCGTAATCAAATTGAGCAATGTGATTGGTCGAAACTTTACTGTTGTCTTATGGAAAGTGTGTGCTATAGCCTTTAATTATCTATTGGCTATGTTCCAAAATTCACTGCAAATTCAGCGCTGAAAATATATAATATACGAAACGTGAGGGAGCGTCCCGTTTGACCACGTTGCGATTGACCACAGCCAATTATATCGACCTGTGCCTAGGGTAACCAGCAACGATTAACCAATCAGAGAGTCCTATTTTGAATTGGCCAATTGGCGACGTGGTCAATCGGGTGCCACGCTAAATTTTCAGCGTTGGTAGTGAATTTTGGAACACGCCCATTGTAAATCAGGATTTAAGAAAAATGTGCTCGAAGCTAGTAACTGCTCTCTATTGCGTATATATAAATATTCTGTAACTGTATTCATAAAATTGTAAGAGGAAGTAAAAATGGGAAAAGGATTTAATAATTACATGTGCAAGAAGTTTTTCCACCCAGCATCACGAGATAATTTAAAACGAGTATGATAATATACACACATACAATATAGTCTTTTACTGTAAAATTCAGAAATATTTTAACAGAAATTGAAATATTTAAAATATTTTGACAATATCTTGATTTTTTTGCATATATTTGAATAATCTTACAACATAAGCAAAATATATTCCTTCAGGTATGGATGGCAGAACAACAAGCAGAAGCTTATAAGAAGAAACAGGAAGAACTGCGAGTACAATATGAAAAAGAACAAGATCTTCATAATAATAAGTAAATTACAATATTCTATAATAAATAATCTTGTTTCTAATAAAAATAATAATAATGTAATATTTTTTTTCAGAGCATTACTGAGCAAAGAAAGCAAAGATAAACTTAGTGTAAATTTCATGTATGAACCACCTCCTGGAGCAAAAAAAGAAAGAGAGAAGGAAGACAATGAACCTGAATACAAGTTTGAGTGGCAGCGGAAGTATAATGCTCCAAGAGAAAGTTATTGCAAAGGGGATAGTGAAATAAGAGATCAACCCTTTGGTATACAAGTAAGAAATGTACGATGTATCAAATGTCACAAATGGGGACATATAAATACAGGTAATGTAACAATATTTACAATGTTATTGGATTATGAAATTACTTTTTATACTTTTACAAAATTAAAAATTATATTTGAATGAATCTGAAATTGTATCTATTATTGACAAGTTATTCCTGATGAATTTATCTTATACATATCTTTAACAGTAACTTATTGGAAAGATCTGTAGGGCAATTTTTGTCAAATAAACAAGTTCTCACTTTAGTTATAAAATTATGATGAATTCATAGTTAAAAAACTATGAATTAGTAGTAATATTATTAGTAACTGTATTAAAAGAACTGTTAATATATAAGAAATAAACTTTGATATTAAATTATTTTTTAGATAAGGAGTGTCCATTATATAGTCAAGCAATGAGTGTTGTAATGGCAAATAATAATTTGCAAGTACCATCTGCTCCAGATACTATGATACTTGTACAACAAATGCGAGAAGATGGTTTGGCTCTAAAAAAGTAACGTTACATCATATGTTCATAAAATGTATTATCTGCGCGCATACGTATTTGCGAATGTACAATATAGAATTAGTTTTGATTAAATAGTGTATGAAAATTATGAAATGGATTATTGCAAACAAAAATTAATTACTAAATTAACTTTTTATATTGCAGATCTGTGTTGGATGTACAACAACATTTACAAATTCCAGAACATGAGCATCTTATTATCTCTGAAGATGAAGAGCAATCAGAATTGTCTTTTCTAAAATTTTTGTCGAAAAAAGAAAAGAAAAAATTATTGTTGTGAGTTAATTGAATTATATATGCATAATTGTAATATACAGCGTGTCCCACCTAGAAGTGGCCACCCCCTTTTATCTTTTAAACTAAAACAAATAGATCGTAACAAATATATATGAAATTAAATGGCTTGAACTGAACTTTATTGTGAATATAGTGATTAATTACAAAATTTATGTGTTGAAGAACGAAGAGATAGGCATAATTTTTTTTATAATGATGTAGATATTTTGATATGACAGAAGTTGTAGCGCTGTTTGAAACGAATATAACGATGTATGATTTAATGTAAATATTTTACATATTATGAGATTTTCCGGCTTGAAATATCGCGGGCGACGTCATTTTCGGCCCTGCGATATAACCAACTTCGAACTGAGTATCATGATTAAATGACAATATGACATACGTCAACCTCTCCTCTAATGCACGAGTCAGAAGTTGGCTATATCGCAGGGCCGAAAATGAAATTGTGGACGTCGCCTGCGATATTTCAAGCCGGAAAATCTCGTATAATATGTAAAATATTTACATTAAATCATACATCATTATATTTGCTTCAAACAGCGTTACAATTTTTATTATATCAATTTTATTATATCTACATTATTATAAAAAATTATGCATATCTCTACGTTCTTAAATACAGATAAATTTTGTAATCAATCACTATACTTACAATAAAGTTCTATTCAAGCCATTTAATTTCATATATATTTGTTACGGTCTACCTCTTTTAGTTTAAAAGATAAAAGGGGATGGCCACTTCTAGGTGGAACACCCTCTCTGTGTGTGTGTGCGTGTGCGTGTGCGTGTGCGTGCGTGCGTGTGTGTATAAATTTTATATATACTTTTATATATTTACTTATATATATACTTTTATATATTTACTTATATATATTTTATATATACTAATTTTATCATTAGTAAGAGAATATATATATATATATATATATATATATATATATATATATATTCTCTTACTAATGATAAAAAAAAAGTATATATAAAATATTTTTTTATAAATATTTTTTATTTTATTGAACTTGAAGAATATTATAATTTATCTTTACAATTGAATTACAGAAAATTGCGGTTATTAGAGAAGAAAAATCACATGAAAAAGAAAAATTTGAAGAAAAAAAAATTTAATGATAAAAAATCTAGCAGTACTAGTGATACTAATAGTACTAATTGTACTAGTGATACTAATAGTAGTACTAATAATGATAGCGATAATAACAGTAACAGCACATGCATCAACAATGATTCAGAAGATTCTCATTCAAGACAAAGTAAGAAGAGAAAGAAATCTAACTATAAAGAAAAATGTACTCATAAACATAAGAAAAAACGAAATAGCGATGTACACAAGTATAAACATAAAGAGAGAAATATCAAATATGAGATAGATAATCACTATGATAGGAAAAGAAAAATTAAATCTGAAGATAAAAACAGAGATAATCTGAAACACAATTATAAAATAAAGAAAAAGCTAGCTCATTAATAACAATTTTGGAAATAAAATGTATTATGTAGGTATAATAATAAAAATATTAAAATAAAAAATTCCCTCAAAATAATTATTAATTGATAACATTTGTATTTGATGTATATATTGTAACAAAAACAAGTATTTTAAAATATATCAATAAATAAAAAACAAGATGAATTCTCTTCTTCCTCATGCCAATTATCGCGCCTTTGTTACTAATTTTATCACTTAGTAATTGTTTATGTATTTGATTAAAAAATACAAATGACAATTTTATATATCTTGGAGATAATAACAATGCTGCTGATTATATAGAGTATAGAGTGATCTTTTAGCTGCAAATGGCATATATATAAATATATATATATATATATATATATATATATATATATATATATATATATACAGGGTGTTTCATTTTAATCCGACCACCTAAATTTCTCGGAACCTAAGCAAGATAGAGAAAAATGTTTTAGACAAAAGTTGTATGGTTTCAAGGGGGACATAAGATGGTGTCATTAGTTTGATCTTGAAGAGCCACCTGAAGGACACGCGAAGGTCAGCTCTAACTTTTTAAATGGGACACCCTATATGCTTTTGCATATTCTTGTAGCTCATCTCAAGAGCTTTCCAAAACACTATAATTAAGTTAGTTTTCATTAAGTACTTTCCAAGTTATGAGGCTTGAAATCATTTTTTAATTTTACATAAACCGTAAAATATCTTGTAAAATATTCATTTTTCGATTATTTTACTTTAATTTATTTACCTTTTATGTACAAAATAATGAGAGGAATCAATTGGTGTAAAGAAAAGACATAGTTATTTTTAAGAAAAAATATGTAATTGTTAATTGCAAATTACATATTTTTTTTCGAAACAACTATGAGTTTTCTTTACACCAATTGATTCCTCTCATTATTTTGTACATAAAAGTATTAAGGTAAAATAATCGAAAAATGAATATTTTACAAGATATTTTACGGTTTATGTAAAATTAAAAAATGATTTCAAGCCTCATAACTTGGAAAGTACTTAATGAAAACTAACTTAATTATAGTGTTTTGGAAAGCTCTTAAGATGAGCTACAAGAATATGCAAAAGCATATAGAGTGTCCCATTTAAAAAGTTGGAGCTGACCTTCGCATGTCCTTCAGATGGCTCTTCAAGATCAAACTAATGACACCATCTTATGTCCCCCTTGAAACCATACAACTTTTGTCTAAAACATTTTTCTCTATCTTGCTTAGGTTCCGAGAAATTTAGGTAGTCGGATTAAAATGAAACACCCTGTATATTATATATTTCTGTAACAATTTCTAATGTTTAAAAATATAGTTTTTTAATTTAAAATGAATATCACAAAATTTATTAGATTAGAAAATAAGACTTCATGTGAATATTACGAGGATATATCTCGAAAGTTCGTAAAATTTTTACATGGATTCCACATTAAATTGATAATCGTATCCACGTGGATTCTAATACCATTCTTAAGCGGATTATCCACTCGAACATCCACGTGGATTCAACGATATTAATCCATATGGTAATAACGTGGATTTCACGTGGATTTTACTGTTTGTGTCGGGTGAGCATCGGTCGAGATGATGGTTGTGTCCGTTTCATTCTGTGCCCAACTGGGATCCTCCCAAATTGAACAGTATATTTTCAATCTTATTTGTTACCTTTTGCAAACTTTATATAATTCTCATAACTAAAACTTAAATACGAGAAAGATAACGCATCGCATGTCGATAAACGAACTAACAAGTCCTTCCCACTGCACAGGACATTCTATGGCCATTCATTTTATGTCCATTTTACGTCCATGGACATGAAATGACCGTTCATCCTACATCCGATTCGGGATATTCGTTAACGACCAATATTTGGACGTCCACAAAATATTCGATTTGGACGTCAAAGTTTCGCGCGAGCACGCAAGGATGTGTTAGTTCGTTCGTTTATCGCTATGCGATGTGCGATGCGCTATCTTTCTCGTATTTAAGTTTTAGTTATAAGAATTATATAAAGTTTGCAAAGAATAACAAATAAGATTAAAAATATACTGTTCAATTTAATTTCTGATCTCAATACAAGAGTTTCAGATATTAAATTGATTTTATAAGTCGGACAAGTAAATGTCCGGCAAATGAATGAAAATAATCCGGTACCTATTTAAACTTCCTTGTTGCATTTTACATTTTAAATTACCTATTTAAAATGTAGAGTGCAATAAGCAAGTATAAATATAAATAAAATTTTTACTTGAATTTTATGTAAAGTTTTATATGAAATAGATAAATTATACTATTTTATTATATTATTTAATTTTGTTGGGCCAAAGAATTTTTGTTTTATATGTTATAAAGGATGCATAATGCTATTTATTTATGTATAATAAATAACAATTTTTTATATATGATTAAATTAGGTCAAAATCCATACATAATTATATCTACACAATTATACATAATTAAATATAAATTTTTTTCTGAGTTTATGAATTTTTGATGTTTATTCCAACAATAATTTGGAAGAGTAAGACACTGAAAATGATGTCCATTTTAAGTCCTTTTTTGAGTATTATTTTGAACGCCCGAAAGGCGTCCGAAGTTGTGACAAACGGACGCCTTATGGACGTTCAATGGATATCTGTCGAACTTAATTCACACGTCTTTTGGATGTCCCAATGTCCGAACTAAGACATCCACTGGACGTCAATGGGACATCCATGTGCTATTTGGGTTGTGTGCTCGCGCGAAACTTTGATGTCCAAGATCGGACATTTTGTGGACGTCCAAGATCGGACATTTTGTGGACGTCCAAATATTGGCCATTAACGGATATCTCAAATCGGATGTACGATGGATGTTCATTTCATGTCCATGGACGTACGAACGTAAAATGGATATAAAATAAATATCCATGGAATGTCCTATATGCTGTCTGAGTGCTGACATGCTGGCAACATAATCGCCCAATAAGCAAAATGTAAGCAGTATGTCGACAGACTGGCAACAGATTTGATCAAACCATGTCAGCAGAATGACATCTACTGCGTCCTCATTCTGCTTCTAATCTGCTAGCAGAACCTGCTCACAGAATCGGATATCAGATTGTCGGCAGAAACTGAGCAGGATCTGCTATCAATGCTAACATGACTTGATGTCAGACTGTTAGCAGAAATCGAACAGGATCTGCGCGTGCAATTTGATGTTAGATTGTCCGCAGAAACCGAACAGAATCTGCGGATGCAACCTGATGGCAAATGGACAGCAGAAATTTCACAAGATTTGCACTTTTATTAATATTATATAAATGCAACAAAATTGATTATTACAGGTGCTAAATAACAATATTATCGGCAAGTTAATTAGAATTTTCTTATAGAAAATGACATATATGTAATATGTTATATCATAGTTATATTTCATATAGCGAAGGACTAATTTCAATTCTATTTAATTAAATTAATAATAAAGTAAATGTAACTTGTAAAACTTGAGATGTAATTTATTTAGAATTAAATTCTTGCTTTATGCCTCAAATAGCCAGTGCATGAATAATTTTCCATATATTATATTGATTCCAATCAGTTTAATATTCTGAATTCTGACTCTCATTTGCTTGTATCAGATATCAGAAATTAAAGTGAAAAATTAAAATGATGATTACTATATTTTTAGTCTTTTATTCATATTCGTGACTTTATATATATTTCTGACAGAAATTCAATTACGAGAAAGTACAGCTCACGTAGCGGTAAGTGAAAGAACTATCAAATCATGCAAATCCTGTTCCATTTCTGCCATCAATCTGCTATCAGAGATTGTATGCGCAGATCCTGTTCGATTTTTGCCGACAATCTGTTGTCAAATTGCATCGCACAGATCCTGTCCAATTTCTGCCACCAATCTGCCACTAAGTTATGCCGGCAGAATCTGTTCGATTTTTGCTGCCAATCTGGTAACTGATTATGTTAACAAGCTTTGTTATATTTCTGTTGACATTCTGGCGACATCACATGATATATCAGAACCTGCATCGATTCTGTAATCTTTCTGTCGACAACAATTTCTAACAGATTCCCTGACAAGATCTGCTTTAGCAGACTTGGCTATTGGGGCGAATATATCAGTTTCTTCATACAAACTGTAATCTTTCTGCCTTTAAAATTTAATGAGCATTTGATGAAAATCTGTTCTAACAGATTTCGTTATCTGGGTATTAATTGAAGATTATTAATTACTAATACATTAATATTAATTGAAAATCACAAATAAATTAATTTTAACATTTTGACTGAAACATTTCTAATAGTAATACAAACATTTAATAAGTTTTATAACATATTTTATTTTTACAAATCAATGAAGCATGTTCACATATTATTCTTACAATTATGTGTAATTATAGTGTAATATATCCTTTTCTCCTTTCCACAAAGATAATACATAAAATCACGGGCAATGTACATATATGTATATTACAAGTGCTAATTGAATTCCTTTTTTATGTAGCATGTATTATTTTCAAAAATATAATAAATAATAAATAATAATTTATTTTATTTTTTATAATATAGTTAATTTAATAACAATTCCACCTCTGCCTTGCTATACATATAATATACGAAAGTATATTATATATGTGTGTATTGTGTATTATATGTGTGTATTGTGTATAAAATGTAGCCATATTGACCTTGAACACTTGGGCATTTTAACCGGCTTGCATACATTTCTTGCAAATAAATTACATTTTCAATGTGATACAATATTATAATTTTAGAAAGTAATGTTGGAAGTTCACAACTATACAATTAATTTACTTAATTGTTTAATAATGACATTTGAATGCATATATATATGTGTGAATAGGTTGATAAAAGGAGAATACATTCATTATATTATAAATGAAACATTTCATCTTTTCCATATTGCCTAAAATGATATAACAATCATAAGCAATCCTATTAGAGAAATGTCGTTTTTTTTAAAAAAAACAGGTGCTCTAGAAAATCACTAGAAAAAATCGACTTTACTCTTACATATATGATGTAATATAGAATTTCTATTCAATATAATTTTTGTTTTTATTAAAACAGGATATTCTTTACATAATAAATTGAATATATATTTACATTGCATATATATAACTGCAGGAAAAAAAAACGTGGATTTCATTTCTAAGATTCCCTGATAAATATATAAATATGAATTATTGTAATATTCAGAATATAAAATCGGAATGTAAAATTATTTTAATTAGAATTGAACAAATAGCTTATCTTTTACATATATGTTTTTATATCTATTGCATGAAAAAGAAAGCTGCTCAAGAAAGAGTAGAAAATACATTTCCAAATTACAAGTGTTTTATTTGAAATAAAAAGATTGTAAACGCGTACCAAAGTACTAAAAGTAAAAAAAAATAGATTATTTTCACGTGAAAACAAAAAAAGATTCAATGTTCTTGACATAAAAAATGAAAAATTGACGAAAAAAATGTTTATCTCTGAAATATATATTTTATTTTAATATGTTAGAAGCACTCGTCATTTTATATAAACTTGTTCCTGTACTATTCGAAATTCTATTGTTAGCCAATTATAATGAACGATATGATATGGTATTTGCATTACACTATTAATATAATCTTTGGATTTAAACTGCATTTTGTTTGTAAATATTTCATTAATGCTGTAAATTTGTTTTTTAAAGAATGTGCTTGACGTGTATTTACATAACAAAAAGATATTCGTTTTTTTGTATTGCAAACATTTGGCTATTCCAAAATAATCTATATATCAGGGTTTCTATATAAATTGTTAGTACTGGAAAAATCTGTAGTTTACATTATGTATATTATAGATTTTTTGTATTGACAGTATATGGGAACATAGCTTAAGTCGCATGTGCAAACATATTGCGATATTAGGAGGCCGCCTAAATTTATTATTTATTTTTTTACTATATATAATATTGTGAATTTGTGCTCTAAATTATGTTCGTCATTTATCGTCACATAAGCGTGAACGATATAACAGATTTATGGACTATATTTCTTCCGTTCATAATTCACACCAGAAAGTTGATAGTTTGTGCACAATGCGTTGCAGCACTATAAATGATTTGGTGGCTGGCCAAGATCTATCATTTCAGTGTCCTCTATACTATTGGACTCCATTATATGTTGTCTGTGCTGCTGTTGAAAATCTAATGATGGATGCAGATGAACGTCCATCGATTTAGACGAAGAGAAACTCTGTAAACCAGTTGCTGCACCAAAGCCAGTATTATTCAACAATGTCCTACGTGGACTTCTAGCGTTTATGACTTTCGGTTGCGCATACATTTCTTCCAGCACACTCGGTGCCACATATGTAAACCCCTGAAATATCATATTCGCAGATTCACTGAGAGTGCTTTCAACTGGTGAATCAACCGGCACGGTCGCTGTGAATTGTTCGTCAAATTGCGATGTATCGTCAGCGCTTTTCAATGACGGTTTAAATGGCGGATCCAATTTCCGTGCAATTACGTCCTGCCAATTGATATGTTTGAAAAAGTTATGGTTCTTAATTTGCTCGGCGTCTTCTAAACCAGAGCCCAATCTTTGAACAACTTGCCTCTTCAAGAGTTTCCGTATAAGATCTCGAGCGTCTGGTGTTAGGTACTGTGGAAGACTTAGTTTTCCTCGTAAAATTTTTTCGATAGTTTTTCTCCTGTCATCACCAGTAAATGGTGGCATTCCTGTAAGCATATCAAACATCAATGCACCTAAACTCCACCAATCCACTGCCTTACCATGACCACTCCGAGTTAAAATCTCTGGAGCCATGTATTCTATTGTTCCACAAAATGTATGTGTCACTGTGCCTTCTTGTATATGTTCTTTGCAAAGACCAAAATCTGTTAATTTAACATGACCTTCAGCATCTAATAAAATATTCTCTGGTTTCAAGTCTCTGTATATAATTCCCTGATTGTGAAGATGTTGTAGCGCTAATATAATTTCAGATAAATAGAAACAGGCTGTGTCTTCTAAGAAAATACCTTCTCGATCGAGGTATGTAAAAAGTTCGCCACCACATAGATATTCCAATATCAAATATAATTTACCACCAGTTTGGAACGCATACATAAGATTGACAATAAATGGATGTTTTACAGCTTCCAAAATATTTCTCTCAGCTTTAGTATGAGCAGTATCTTTCTGATTTCTTATAATAGATGCTTTACGCAGTACTTTCATAGCAAAAATACTGCCTTTATCTTTTCCAGTAACTTTTCTAACTTGAAAGACCTTTCCATAACCACCCTCTCCTAAGATTTTGCATAATTCAAAATCTTGTGGACCAGCCTTTTCTTGACCAGGATTTACATTTTGTTCAGATAATTGAACTCTCTCCAAATTTTCAGATCTAAAAAGTAATTCAATAACTCTATTTTTTAATAATTAAAAAAGAATAATTATTCTAAAATCATATAGAACTAAAATACTTACTCTAATATAGTGCTTACAGTTGCAGCATGATTATATTCCTCCTAAAAATAAATATTCATATTATATATTATTCATATTATGTGTGTATGCACACACATACATATACACACGAATACATACACACAAATATATATAATATGATATTTGGTAATTTATATTTCAATTATAATCTTATAATTATATTTCAATTATATTTTATAAACATATATTCATAAACTCATCTTATAAACACGTAAATGTTAAATGTAAATATTACTAGGAAAAAAAATACATTTATTATTGAACATTATTTAGTCAAACTCAATTATTTCATGTAAAATCATTTCAAAGAGAGAAAAGATATTAAGTTAGAGATTCAATATGATTAAATATTTTTAAGAGAACTTTTCTGTAGACTATATTTTATAATTCGAATTTAAATCTGTATTGATGATCTTGAACGATATTTTTGAACTTTTTTGTCAAATTACAATAAAATAAATTCTTGTGTTCCATTTAAGAATTTTTTTAAATATTTTTTATACATTCTATATATATGAGAGCAAAGAAAAGGGGGACGGGAAGAGAGAAAATTAATTAAATTATTAAATTAATTATTATTACATAGTTCAAATGTTATTAGACGGATACATTTTACCTCTCTGTTTTCGATTATTTCATCATCTGATTCGTCTTGTTTTGTGGCATCTCCTTCATGCAATTCAATGTCGAATACTCCTGCCATTCTCAATACGTCAAAGTCATCGGAAAATTACAAAGAAGACGTATTTTTAATTCGCCATGTTTTACTACAGGCAATATTATGTGAGAAAATCTGTACATAAGCTCTATAAATATACGTCTACCCTAAAAATTGAAGCGAGTTTAAAGAAGGCTCATTATAAATTAAGAAATGATGTACGATAAATCTTTTTATTATTTTAAATCTTATTTATCATTTTTAAGACGCACAATTATAAAATTAAAGTACCAAGTTTTAAGAAGTCCTCTAAAAATCACATATATAATTGCAAATACACGCTTGAAAATAACCTGTATTTGAGATTGATATTAAATTCGACGTAACGTTCCAATATAGGCCGTGTTCCGAAATTACTACCAGTACTGCAAATTCTATAGTGCACGTTACGTATATTATATATTTTCAGTACTGGCAGTAAACTGGCAGCAATTTCAGAACACGGCCATAGAGGCCTCCGCACAAGGGCCGGTATTCATCCGATCTTAAGGGCCTATCCAGACAAACTTGCATAAGTGCATAAGCATATGCATAAGAAAATGGACCAATCACATGTCTCATTTAAGGAACTAGACAAGCTGTCAAAATTTGTAATAATCGCAAATGACAGCTGCTCACAACATGAATTGAGCGCAATAAAAGAATCGGCATCGCGGAAAAACGGCAACAATTCAAGCGTCACATGACTTTTTTCATATAGGATACTATACTATAGCATAAAATATATACATAATGTCGAAAAATTTTGTGTATCCAGAAAGCTTGCATGGCGTATGCATAAGGCCGCAGCACACATTTTTGCATAAGTGCATAATCATAAGCATAAGAAAATTGGTTCATTTTCTTATGCATATATTTGGGAACCAATCAATTTTCTTATGTTTATGGTTATGCGCTTATGCAAAAGTGTGTGCTGCGGCCTAGTGAGCTAAGTCAATCACGTCTTTTATAGAAAAATCGTGATGAAATATAAATCAACATAAATGTAACATATGCACAAGCAAAAGTAGAGTCACTAGATTTCATATCGTTGAAATTTTATGCATACGTATATGGAGGAGCTAATATGTATATGCAGGAGCTAATGCCATTTTATAGGACATTACTGTGACATTGTTCTAGAATATCATCCGATAATCTATATACTTATTATAATCTATGATTAAACCAGTCTGATATTCTCTGACAACCGGGTACTCAGTTTTCGCTCACCAAGTTATTCCATTGTGCAGGTAAGATTCCTAAAAATAAAAAACGAATAAATAATTAAAACATATTTTTGTATAATGATAAAATATGATATACATTTTTATAGCTAATATATATTTAATTTTATCACAATTTACAATATTACATTATATTTACAATATTAGAATTTGTTATAAATTTTTATAAAGTTTATATATTCTTACAATTTTTTAATATATACAATCTTTCTATGCATACAATTATAAATAAATATAGTGATTGTCGTGTATTAAATTAATGAATTGCAAACACATTGTTGATTACATATTTTTACATTATTACATACATTATACGTACATTATTATTGATTATATATTTATACTTTTCTATAATCGATTTATTAAGAGAATATAATAATAAAAGGTACAGTTAGAAATGCCAATTTAAATGTCTAAGAAAAAGTATGCGATCAATACAAAAATAATTGTAAAATATATTTACAGGGTTCAATAATATTCCAGAAGAAAAAAAATACTATAAATACTGGAGTCAGAAGATGGAATCAGAAAAAGTAAATGATCTCACTCAAGAATATGAATATGCAATGAATATAATGAAGCCGATACTGATATAATTTTAATAGATTTTGTCAAAAATTTTCCTCATTTGTATGACAAAAGTGTAGCCGATTTTAAAAATATACACAAAAAAGAAACGAGGCAAATATTTTATTCTTTGGTAATAAACTATAGTATAATAACACCGGCGATTGTGTTCCGAAATTCATTGCCAATTGCCAATATTGACAATGAATTTCGGAATGCAGCTTTATGATTGGTCGATTTCTCTATACATTATGCTTATGCAAGTTTATCTGGATAAGCTTTTAGGGCCTATCCAGACAAACTTGCATAAGACATAAGCATATGCATAATCAACCATAATAAAAGCTTATCCAGATAAACTTGCATAAGCATAATGTATATTATACTGTAGCCCTTACGGAAAGAAACTACAGCCAGAAAATATTACAGTTGTATAGTTATTACAAGATCCCCTGTAGTTATTACAGAAAGAATTACAATAATCTGTAATTATTACACGCTATAGTTATTATAGTACGTAAAATCTCTATAATAGGGAATACATGTTTAGCTCATGAAGTGTGTAATCCACGTATAATTACACGTATAATTTACTACATGTATAATATACTACACGTGTAGTCCACTATATGTGTAATATACTATACGTGTGATAAATAACTTGTGTAATAGACTACACGTGTAATCCAATACATGTGTAATATATTATACGTAATCTACAAAATGTGTAATACATTACTATACGCGTGTAATCTATAATGCTACCAGTATTTAATGAAATTTGAAATAGTGAGTCTTTTATCATATATATATAGTATACTTTTACTTCAATGCAGTTGTATATATATTATTTTTATAAATAATGTTTGAAATTTATTAAATTTAATGTATCACTTTTTATTAACACTACATTTCATTATTTTTTAATTTCATATTTTCTAAGTAAATAAATATAAAAAGTATAAAATATATCTATGTACTACAAGATGTTTGCCATTTTGATATGAAACAGTAAAATGTTTATATTATTTTTATATATATTTTATAAATATTTTTATATTTTTTTATAAAATAAATATAATCATAATATATTGGTCAATATATATATATATATATATATATAAATACGTAAGGATTTGATATATCTGTTTAATATATATTATTTTATTTATTATAAAATACATTAACTCACATTACATCAACTATATAAAAACACTAACTTAATAATAATATAATATTGTAAATTGTATATTCATCTCTATGTGTGTACGCATTATATTCACCCGTACCTTTCGCTTTCTAGCTGCGTTCCGATATTCACTGCCAGTACTAAAAATCTATAGTGTACGTGACACACGTAAACTATAGAATTTTAGTACTAGCAGTGAATATTGGAACGCAGTCTACGTGTCTCTAGAAATCAATCTGTTTCAATTGTATTAACGATAGGTATGATAAATTGCTTATGTTCATTGGAATATGGTATAACAACGCATTTACTTTTAATTATATCCAATAGACAACCTCTAATGTTATCAGTTTTTTTAGTAATAAAACTAAAATTTCTGGAAGATATTCCATTATTTTTGCATACTTCTTCCGGTAAAATATTATATTCTTTGCATAATAATACATTAGTTTCAGTTCCATCATTTGCTTTTGTCACGATACATAAATGTAATATATCCAATATCAATCCATTCTTTGTTAATATTGTATTATTATATCTTTTTAATAATCTAGGATAATTTAAAGTATGATAAAGAATATTTCTAAAAATAAATCGGTTAAAAGTAAAAGCCGTGCTTTCGACGGATTCCCCTATTAATTCTTCTACAATAAGTTTTTGTGTAACAGTTAACACTATTTCTTTTTTTATTCCAAATGCTCTCTTTTAAAGAATTTTCGTATTCTATACATCTTTTAATATGACACACTTTCATTAAGTTATCAAAAATAGCTTTGCCTTTCGAGCTACAATTTTCGGCAATAAAAATCGATCTGTTGTTGTTAATAAATCTTGTTGTTAATAAATCTTAATCTAGAATAAAACTTAGATATTTGTTGTGTTATGCATTGTGAATCATTGAACAAAATTTTTAGTGTTCGATTAAAGCCTTCAAAATGAAAGGTTGACCAAGCCCAGAGAGCACCGTAATTTTTCACTGATGCAGGTATATGCAATAACAAATGAATATTATAATTCATGAAATCATCGCCATACAATTCTTCTATTTGCAATACAAATGTTCGTAATGCTTGTTTAGCAGCGATAAATTTGTCTTCAGGAATATGTGTTTGTAGAAAAATATACATACTAAATACAAAAAGTAGCCAACGTAGCCAGTTTAATAAATTTCTATGGTATTAATCTACTTAAACAAGGCAATGAATAGTACAGTAAAATATTCTTCCACTCTGATGCCTTAACAATTTTCTTTGAACTATCGATCGTGGTATTCGTGTTATTTCTGATGGAGGTAATATATTTGTCAATTTATTATCAAAAACTTGTTGGTATTTCCCTAAATACCACTCTTTATTATGATTGCTGGAATCAAACCACGCCATAACAAACTGTTTAACTACGCCTTCCGCAACACTGTGCATATAATCCGGCGGGAAAGACTTAATTATATCAAAGAGCGGTATAAGTTGTGTTACCGAAGGACCCTTAACGCCTTTTACTGAATGATTTTTTGAAATACTTTTTTTAACATGTTTGTTGTGTTGATATTTATGACGTAAAGCATAAACATCTCCACAATAAATATGTTTAAAACCCCTGCTTTTTGTCTTGACTACCTTTCCTTTATTATAGCAATATGAACATCCGTATTTTCCGTTAAACTATTTTATGTTTTGTATCATAGACCTTGCTATTGAATCAACAGGAGCTACAAGTGTATGAACTTTAATACATATTGCTTCATCCTTATGCATGAATGTTGTTGTAATAAAACCATTATTATGTAAATCAATAAGTTCATCAACGAATGGCTGAAGAAAAATGTTCATATTTGCTTTCGTAGATGTGTCAAACCATATGTCAGCTAAGAGAATGTGTTGCCTTCGCAAATGATAAGGCAATTCGTTAATCGTAACTAAAATCGGTCAAATGGATGATATAGAAGACTTAAATAATTGTACTCCATCTGAATTCCACTGGAGGGTAATGTCATTATCTCCAATGATATTTTTACTTCTTAAATTACGGTAAATGTTTCCATTAATGATATCACTTTCCATTTCTTTAGTTTTTCGGAATTGTGCAAAATCTTCAGTCTTTACTAATTCTATTAATTATTCTCTGAGTGGAATATGCATAAAATAATTATTTCTTTTATCGAGATATTTTTCTTTGTAAATTGTTGTACAAACTTCACATTTCATTCTATTATCGGTACGTAAATTCAATATCATATAACATTCCGGACAATAATAATATTTACGCGCTTTATTTTCTGGTAATCACTTTAATAATAAATATTTGGAGCCATGATGTGTACGAGGAAGATGACAATCAATTACTTGAATAAGAGATTCCAACGCAGCATCAGTCAGTTGATGACGAAGAGCCAAACTTACAAGCAACATTTTGCTTTCTTCTTTAGAAAGATTGCATCCTTCGTACAGTATTTGGCGAAACTATAACATGAAAAAATTTTATATTACTTATTACTACTATAAAAATACCAACATTAATCTTAAAGAATGCTATTTTTTCTTTGAAATAAATTATACATATATATAATTTATTTCAAAGAAATAAGTTTTTAGATTTCTTCTCATGAAAATGTTTGATCACGATAAAACTTCAAATATTTTAATTTTGGGGTGAGATGTTCGGAAATTTTTTAACAGCATTGTATAAAACACAACTATACATTGCATAATTAAGACTTCATTTGTGCACAAATATCAGCAAATTCTTAGTAACTATGTCCAATAGAAAATTATTCAAAACGATATTCACTAATCACATAGAAAATGGTAAATCTAATGGTAAATCTAATGGTAAATAGCTTTCTGTATAGTTATAATGAATTATTTTTAATAGTTTTTCATCGAACTAGTTATATACTAACGACATTTTGTAAGGTAATACATGTATATTACCTGCTCCATGTGTGGATCTTGATTATGATCATTGGCATTATCAATAACATTATTGTCATTAGCAGTTGGAATTCCTTCATATTCGTCCATGTCAGAGACCAAATCAATTTCATACTCTGATAAGTTATCTGAACATAATGAATCATCTTCTGTATAACTTAAGCATGATAAAATGTCATCTACTTCTCTCATCTACTGTTCTCTATTTTTTTTTTCGAGAAAATGCTGTTGATGCTGGTATTTCGGGGTTATGTTCCTCATATATGTATTGTTTATACGGTCCTCTTTTATTAACACTCATTGTTAATTAGCGCGTTTTCTGTGATTATGTCATAATTTGCAATTTATATTCAGATGGAACGATATACTTTCGTTCACGTGCATGTGCTCTACATATCTGTTGCGGAGCGTGCATTGCGTCATACCGTAATACCGTACTGCGCGGAACGCGGAACAGCTGTAGCCGGGAAACAATTCCCCAGCATTTCCGAGCCAGAAATGGTGAGAATCGCGGTCCGGGGCAGCCGGCAGCCGGCAGGGCTGCGTTCGAAAACATCATCCGAGTGTACTCAGGTATCATTTTATTCTTGTTTAACATTCGGTGAACAGCAAGGATAAAATGATACCCGGGGGCATTCGGGTGATGTTTCTGAACATAGCCCATTGTGTGTGACTGTGTGGCAGTGCGTTCGCCATTGTTTATATTGTCTGTCGAATGTTTATTAAGACGTTTATATTGTCTGTTATATCTTTTATTTTATTAAACAAGATACTTTCATCGTAAAAAAAAGAAAGATAGCGAGTGCGTATTAGTAGAATTTATTAACGAGGATTATAAAGTCGCAGTAGGCTACTGGTCGTGGCTTCAAAATAAGACATTACGAAATAAAGAAACACTACAAAAAGTTATCGATGCAAAAGAAGAAGTTGCAATTAATTGGCCCGTAAATTGTGAAATTGCTCCAGCATTAAAGATGCAAAGAAAAGTACGAAATTGCTCATGGAAATCCCACGTTGTACATATTTTGTCGTTTGGAGGTAAGTATTTTTATACTAAAATTAATAATATAACCTTATAACTTGCATGTCTCCTATAGAAATATTCTTATTTGTACTCTATATACACATCCTTGTTGGAAGAAAAAAGTTATTCAATAAAATGGAAAATTGAAAAGTCGCTGAAAATTTCTTTGAAAAATGTATATTGCAATATTGAAATCGTTTTCAAAGAATTCTTACAGAAATATCTCAAATATGCCCCAATAGCCAAGTCTGCTAAAGCAGATCTTGTCAGTCAGAATCTGTTACAAATTGTTGTCGACAGAAAGATTACAGAATCGATGCAGATTCTGATATATCATGTGATGTCAGCAGAATGTCAACAGAAATATAACAAAGCTTGTTAACATAATCAGTTACCAGATTGGCAGCAAAAATCGAACAGATTCTGCCGGCATAACTTAGTGGCAGATTGGTGGCAGAAATTGAACAGGATCTGTGCGATGCAATTTGACAACAGATTGTCGGCAAAAATCGAGCAGGATCTGCGCATACAATCTCTGATAGCAGATTGATGGCAGAAACGGAACAGGGTTTGCATGATTCGATAATTCCTTCACTTACCGCTATGCGAGCTGTACTTTCTCGTAATTGAATTTCTGTCAGAAATATATATAAAGTCGCGAATATGAATAAAAGACTAAAAATGTAGTAATTATTTTAATTTCTATCACTTTAATTTCTGATATCTGATACAAGCAAATGAGAGTCAGAATATTAAACTGATTGAAATCAATATGATAAATGAAAAATTATTCATGTACTGCCTATTTGAGGCATAAAGCAAGAATTTAATTCTAAATATAATAAATTAGTCTCAAGTCAATTCATCTCAAGTTTTACAAGTTACATTTACTTTTATCATTTACTTTATTATTAATTTAATTAAATTGAATTAGTTCTTCGCTATATGAGATATATCTACGATATAACATATTACATATATGTCATTTTCTAAGAAAATTCTAATTAACTTGCCGATAATATTGTTATTTAGCACCTGTAATAATCAATTGTGTTGCATTTATATAACATTAATAAAAGTAAGCGCAAATCTTGTGAAGTTTCTGCTGTCAATTTGTTATCATGCGCAGATTCTGCTCGGTTTCTGCTGACAATCTAACATCAAATTGCATGCGCAGATCCTGCTCGATTTCTGCCGACAATCTGATATCCGATTCTGTGAGCAGGTTCTGCTAGCAGATTAGAAGCAGAATGAGGACGCAGTAGATGTCATTCTGCTGACATGGTTTGATCAAATCTGTTGCCAGTCTGTCGACATACTGCTTACATTTTGCTTATTGGGTGTTTATAATTCCTTCATAAAATCCTTGAAATTGCTTAAAAATTTATGAATATATTAAAACAAAATCTTGATTTTGTAAATAAGAATTGAAGAAATTCTCAAAAATATGTCTGAAAATTATCTGAAAACGATTAAAGACATTTCCGAAAAAATTGTCAATAACTTTCCCAGTAAAAGGCATACACACACACACACACACACACACGCACACGCACACGCACACGCACACACACACGCACACATAACATTTTTATGCAATAATTCTAAATAAATTTATATTTGTAATTATTAGAATGGACTGAAATGTGTACACAGTGCGATAACGTATTAAAATTTGAAATTCCAAACCCATCAAAAAGTGAAAGAAAAGTGATAAAACGAAAAAATTGTGACATGAAAACAAATTCCGAAGATGAAGACTCTATTGAAAATGACTTTAAAAAAAATCGAACGGTATATAAATACAATGATGTATATACATAAAATTTTCATTAATGGTTTTTTTAAATTTTATTAATTCTGTATTAATGTTTTTATACTATTGTTGACTTTTATCGTTCCTTTTGCTATTTTGCAATAAATTATATTTTCTCATTTTTAAGACATTTTATTGAAATAATTATCAATAATTATACATTTAATTATATTACATATTTATCTGATTATTTCTCTTAAAAATTATTTTCCTTTTTTTAATTTCTATAAAAACTCTGTTTTTGTTAATTTGAAGAAAACTGCTTATTTTTCTGAAACCATGGTTTCAATAGAATTTAAAAAAAAATTTTTCCAAGGAAAAATTTTGGGAAAAATTGCGATTTTCATCAATTAAAAAAAATCAATTTTTAAAGTAAATATTTTTTGTGAATATTAAATCGATTGAATTTTAATTGATATTAATCATATTAATATATTTTTTATTAAATAATATAATTAATTAAATTTGATTGGTAACTATTTATTTTAACAAAATTAAATTGATTCGAAATGTAACTATTAAGATCTAGTTTTTAAAAGTAGATTTTCTATATATTGATTTAAGTTATTCATTTCTACCAAGATCGTTATGGTATAAATTTCTTATGTTATATATTTTCAGGAAAAAAAGAAAACTTCGAAATTACGAGAAACTGCCAAAAAAAAGTAGAAAAGAACATTGTAGAAGCATTGAATATTAAGAAAGATAAATTTCAAGATGTAAGTAGCGTTATTAATTCCAATTAAACATGGTATTAAAAAGTTATTATTCTCATACAAAGTATTGTGTGGAACAAAATTGTGGACATTAAAAAAAAATGAATGACTGAAAGCGAGTGTTAAATCTTTACTGTTTTCGTTGTAAAGAATATTTCAGTACTGCTTGTTCTGTTTTTTCATAATTTTATTTAACTAAATATGTGACATTTTATTGAAATTTAGGATAATACCCTGACAGACTCATCCAATAATTCAAGATGATTGACGAACGAGTATCAAAACACGATATGTCAAAGACAAATCTTTTGCACAAGTATCATCAGGAAGTGAAGGAATTAAAAGATGAGATTTTTCGATTGAAAAAAATTATAAAGTATTCGGAAGGTAAAAATACAATTTTACATATATAAATGTAACGAAGTTAGAACTGTCTATCACCGCTTTTTTGTTTTATTTATTTCCGGAACTTATAATCTATATTACCGTTTTCGCTGTTCTCTTCTCTACATTATTTATTTTTATTTTATTTATATATTTAATATTTATCTATATACATATTTAATATACTTATATTATTAATTATACCTATATTTTTTTTCATTTCATATTTATTATACCTATATTTTTCTTCATTTCATATTTTACTATATTTTATCTATATATTTAACTTTTACTCTATCTTTTTGTGCCTGATCTTTACGTTCTGTTATATTTTTATTGTCACTTATCATGCACCACAAAAATTCTTTGCAAATAAGCATCTATTTAAATAGAAATTCCTAAATAAATAAAATAATAAATAATTCTTTCAGATATTCAACATATAGACAAATATCATAAAAAAATATTTTTCAGAGCAAAAGATATTGAAGAAAAATTAAAATGTTTAGAAAAAGAAATCAATAAAAACACAAAGCATATTATGGTAAGATAACAAATTTATTATCAATTAATTTTAATATTAATATCAGGGGTTTTGGTGAATATATACACAAATATCTTGTATGTAATTACTAAATTGTTATATCTTGGTATTATTTTATATTATATAGAGTTGAAGTACTATTGAATCGATTCCAATATACACTAATGATAGAAATAAATCCGAAATTGTGGTTACTGATATATTAATTGATTGTAATTTAAAAAACAGTCCAGAGAAAAACAGTTCACAGAATGATGAATGCCTGAATCCAATGGATAAGGTAAAGTATATATTTTTTATATTAGTTGCGTATATATATAAATCATTCAATTCTTATGTATTAAAAATAAGAAAACAAAACTTAAAGACAATTCATGTATGTGAAACAAATTGAAACAAAAAGTACATAGTTTATTACATACCCAATAAGCAAAATGTAAGCAGTATGTCGACAGACTGGCAACAGATTTGATCAAACCATGTCAGCAGAATGACATCTACTGCGTCCTCATTCTGCTTCTAATCTGCTAGCAGAACCTGCTCACAGAATCGGATATCAGATTGTCGGCAGAAACTGAGCAGGATCTGCTATCAATGCTAACATGACTTGATGTCAGACTGTTAGCAGAAATCGAACAGGATCTGCGCGTGCAATTTGATGGCAAATGGACAGCAGAAATTTCACAAGATTTGCACTTTTATTAATATTATATAAATGCAACAAAATTGATTATTACAGGTGCTAAATAACAATATTATCAGCAAGTTAATTAGAATTTTCTTATAGAAAATACATAAAAATGACATATATGTAATATGTTATATCATAGTTATATTTCATATAGCGAAGGACTAATTTCAATTCTATTTAATTAAATTAATAATAAAGTAAATGTAACTTGTAAAACTTGAGATGTAATTTATTTAGAATTAAATTCTTGCTTTATGCCTCAAATAGCCAGTGCATGAATAATTTTCCATATATTATATTGATTCCAATCAGTTTAATATTCTGAATTCTGACTCTCATTTGCTTGTATCAGATATCAGAAATTAAAGTGAAAAATTAAAATGATAATTACTATATTTTTAGTCTTTTATTCATATTCGTGACTTTATATATATTTCTGACAGAAATTCAATTACGAGAAAGTACAGCTCACGTAGCGGTAAGTGAAAGAACTATCGAATCATGCAAATCCTATTCCATTTCTGCCATCAATCTGCTATCAGAGATTGTATGCGCAGATCCTGTTCGATTTTTGCCGACAATCTGTTGTCAAATTGCATCGCACAGATCCTGTTCAATTTCTGCCACCAATCTGCCACTAAGTTATGCCGGCAGAATCTGTTCGATTTTTGCTGCCAATCTGGTAATTGATTATGTTAACAAGCTTTGTTATATTTCTGTTGACATTCTGGCGACATCACATGATATATCAGAACCTGCATCGATTCTGTAATCTTTCTGTCGACAACAATTTCTAACAGATTCCCTGACAAGATCTGCTTTAGCAGACTTGGCTATTGGGGATATTTATATACATAATTGTCATGAAATTTTGTTAATTCTATAATCTAAATAGATAATTGACAACGCGCGAGCTTATTTGTAAATGCTATTTTTAAACAATTTTATTTTTCTAATATAGGAGTTTATGATTACAAATTCTGGGATTACCAATGCTGATATAATAAAAAATACTAAAATTGAATATCAACCCTCACATACATCTGAAATAAATGTATGTTTTATATAAATATGTGTGTCTTTATATTAGTGTATCTAATCGTGCAACTTTGAGTATTTTGACATTATAAAAAATTCTATTATTACATAAAATAAATTTTTCAGGAAAACATTGCTTTTAATGAAAGCGGTCTTCTTAATAAAGACAGTAATAATGAAAATAAAGAAAATTCGACAGGTGAAATAATCCGAAAAGGTGAAATAATTATACATAATTGATGTTATAATAACTTATACATATATTTACATCTATATGTACTGCTAATATACGAAATTGTTACACGTAAACATTTTTCAGGTGATATCTGGAGGGAGATATTTTGGATTCAAACATATCACAAATACTCAACTGAGCAAGGTTAATGACAGCAGCGTTTCGAAGCTAACTAGTGATCTTCTCAGTTTGGTTTATGAAAAAACGAAGTTAAGAAACTCCAGTTTGACTGGATCTATAGCCAATGCAAATAAATCTTTAAATCCGGATAAAAAATCAACCGAGAAATTAGATCATGTTCGAATGAAAGCTGTAGAAAGTAAGAAATTTTGCAATTTAACATTATACTTGTGCATATATATAAAAATACATAATATATTTAAAATTGAGCTTAAAATATCTGAATTATGCATGCTATTCAAAAATATGTGTACATAATTGAATTTGATACATTGTTATAGAAAGAGATTTTTCATTCTGTGTTTTCTTTTTCAGATTTTATTTACGAGAAATTCGGCAAGATGACAATACAAAATTGTTCCGTAGTGCCGTTCGAAGCAAGTGCAACAATGCTAAGAAAAAAGTGACATCCGTCAATTCAATTCAATAATCTAAAACATTCAATTTTACAATCTGTTAAAGTCATCCAACTCAAAGATTCTGAGGCCGATATTTATAATCATTATTTAAGCAATTGTTTCGCGAAATCCAACTTATTTAACAATATATATATATATATATATATATATATATATATATAACACTTTTAAAGTTTGTGATTGGTGAAATTGTCAGACTTCGCTAAGTAATTGTTTAATCAATATAAGATCGGTTTGACTATTGATTATTAATCCAATATAAGCCATATTAGTTAAACAAATTTTGATAAATTATAATAATAATCAGTATTAATACAATAAGATTTGTTTGAACTTTAAAAAGTTAGATTTATTTAGAATTTGTGTTTTTTAGATAACTGTGCAATAAGATAAATAATTTTATTTGATCATTTTTTTATTACTTTTTCATTATTTTTTTAAATGTTTTATTTAAAAAAATTTGTTTAAAAATTAGATTTCAAAATTTTTAAAAAATAACTGCAATAAAAGATAAACAAAGAATTTTATTTAATTATTTTTTTTAATTATTTTTTTAAATAAGATTAATTTTAAATAAGTTTTATTTTAAGCAGATCGATAAGTAAAAAAATTTAATTTATTAGATTATTAAAATTATTAGTTTATAATAATGTCGTTACATCAAAGGATATGTGTATTATATATAAAAAATTATATAAAAAATAAACAATTATATTTAATTCAATATATTATGTTGATATGTTATTAGACCCTGCGCACAAAATAGAGAAAATATTAAGAATTAATATATTAAATATTAAAATTTTTAAATAACAAAATCGAAAAAATTCTGATATAAATAAAATACAAATTCGGGTATAAATAAGGATTAGGAACGGCTAATAAATTTGTAAAAGTCCTTTATATTTATACCCGAATTTATACTTTTATATTAAAGTTTTTTTCGATTTTATTTTAAAATCTTAATATTATATTTAATATTTATTCTTAATAGTTTCTCTACTGTGCGTAGAGTCTTATCCTGTAATCCCAGCGCACGACATATTACAGATTATTTTCCTGTAATATTTTCCTGTAATCCGAGCATGTAGTGCGAAATATTATAGTATATTACAATACTTATAGTCAGTAATTTCGTGTAATATTTTTATGTAATCACTGCAATATAATTTGCTGTAATCCACTGTAGTTTTTTTTCGTAAGGGGTTTTACGTAACGTTGCGGTGTTGATCGTTTTCTCATATAATGTGTACTTGTTTTTTTCTTTTCTTCTAAATGCACTGCTATTTCCCCTGGTTTTGTTCCCAGAACATTACTTAAAAGACTTATAGGCTTGCCAGTGTTAAATGTAACTGCTGCAGCATTACAACGCGTTTCATACGATCCTCTTAGACCATAATTAACTCTTTTTCCACCCGTACATTTTGCTATTACAGAGTTAAAAGTTTCTACTCTATTACTGTCTTTATTTTGTAATAAACTTTTGGCATTCCAACTTATATATTTTAATGCATTTTGAAGCTTTTCATATAGTCCACATCTTTTTAATTCTGGAATATAATTTTCTTCGTTTTCTTTTTGCGATCCATCAGAAATATTCTATTCTTGCACATCCATTATATTCGCCAAAAACGTGATTTATTATATTATCCACATCTATTTTGAGAGCTTTAATTTTTTCTTGCATTGTACTTTCCTCCTCCAAACGATATTCTACAGTTTTCGTTACAGCTGTTCTATTTCGAAGTATCCGATTACCAATAACATTTCTTAATTTGCCAAAACGTCCTTTTGTTTTTGCTATTTCCTTTATTTTTGATGCCAAGTTGCGCAATAAATGATTTTGACATTCTATTTTTTCTATAAAAACATTAGGATATGGATTTGCTTGTATTATTTTTTTATATACACTGCTATCTCCGTCTGCTATAAATGTGGAATAAATTAGTCCGCGCTTTTCTATACTTCTCTTAAATCCTTCTACAATCGCTTCTGCTTCCATGCTTGTTGAACTACAATCTCTATCCCAATTTTTATAACATTTATGATTTGTAGGTTCTTTTTTAAGCTTCTCTGCTGTAACACAAACTGCACAATATTTATTTTTTACAAACATGTGCAGTACTTTGCCTGTTCGTCCACCAATTATTGTGCCTACACCTGATAAAGAATCATATCGTCCTGTTCTGTATGATCTTTTCATCCAGCTTCCGTCACCTTTTACTGCTATATGTGGTATTCCATTTATTATTTCATTGCGTTGTAATGCCAAATCACGTTCTTCATTCGCAGCAGCATTCATGCTTTCTTCTGCAATTTTTGCAAATGCTTCAGCAACAGTTTCATGGGCCTTTTCATAAGTTTTCTTTGTCATGCACTTAATATTCATAGCAGCGCAACTTTCTTGTAACTGTATATATCCTGTACCAGTTAGTATTGTGCCAGCCACTGCCCCTATATTTACATGACTTTTGTCAGGAGGCGGCTCACTCCAGACGAAGCTTTCAAAATGGCACATTCGGCATTTGAAAAAGAATTTATTTTTTAGTCCATACGCTCGGACACCAATAAATATTAAGTAACGAAAACTACATTCTATTCCGTGACTATGGTTATCAAATTTTTCATGTAACTGTTCAAAAAGATAGACAAAATCTACGATACATTTTCCTGACATAGTATTACTTTCTAGGCGGTATGCATCTATATTGTTATCTGTTATTAAGTGTCACTTTCTTCAGTCTCACTGTCCTCTAATATTTTTCCCAATTCATTATCACTTAATGTATGTGTCGTTATTTCCTTGTCAGTATTTATTTCGAGACCCATTGTAGCTAATTTGCCATGCATTATTCTATCTTCGTGAAAAGTTAGCTCATTACTATCTAATGTGTCATTGTGATCTTGTGTCAATTTTTCCTAATCTATATTTATTTCGATATCCATTGCAGCTAAATTATCATGCATAATTACATCATCCTGAAAAGTATGCTTATTTTGATCTATTTGCATTATTTCTTTATTTAATACATTAATTCCTTTATTCAATATATCTATTTTTTTCAATTTTTCTTTTTTCTCATAAATTAATGAAATGAATTGATGAGAATAATGCGCGAATATCTCAAATCAATAAAACGTTTGCATATTGTTTTTTATAATAAAATAATAATTTTATAATAAAATTTATAAAAAAATTATAAAATATTATAATTTATATCATTATATAATGTTGCGATATAATTATTAGGTGTTTACCGAAAAAAACCTTTTTTTCGTTATGTTATATATACAGGGTGTCCCGAATTTAAATGTCATAACTTCGGGAGCGTATAGGGAATCAATAAACTAAAAGAAAAAGTGGTATAGAGATATGCTCGTTTTTGCTTCGTTTTGGAGAAAATCGCAAAAAACATAAAACGTAGTTTTTATTTCTGTATTTATTTATTACTTTTTAATTCATATTTAATGAAAAAAAATAAATAAATAAATAAAAAAAATAAAATAAAAAAATATGAATTAAAAAGTAATAAATAAGTACAGAAATAAAAACTACGTTTTATGTTTTTTGCGATTTTCTCCAAAACGAAGCAAAAACGAGCATATCTCTATACCACTTTTTCTTTTAGTTTATCGATTCCCTATACGCTCCCGAGGTTATGACATTTAAATTCGGGACACCCTGTATATATATATATATATATATATATATATATATATCGTCACGTGAAGATCACCGTCAATTTCTTAAATGGAACTCCCTATTTTTTATTAAATATTCTGGTAGCTCACGTCGAGATCTTTCCAAAACACTATAATTAAGTTAGTTTTCATGAAGTACTTTCCGAATTATGAGGCTTGAAATCATTTCATAATTTTACATATACCGTAAAATATCTTGCAAAATATTCATTTTTCGAAAATCTTACCTTTATGTACAAAATAATGAGAGGAATCAATTGGCGTAAAGAAAAAACATAGTTGTTTTTAAGAAAAAAATATGTAATTTGCAATTAACAATTACATTTTTTTTTTAAAAACAACTATGTGTTTTCTTTACACCAATTGATTCCTCTTATTTTGTACGTAAAAGTATTAAATACTTTATTATAGTGTTTTGGAAAGCTCTCGACATAAGCTATAAGAATATGCAATAAAAAATAGGTGGTTCCGTTTAAGAAATTAAAGGTGTCCTTGACGATGAGCTGACCTTAACGATGCTATCCAAGGTCAAACCAATGACACCATCTTATGTTCCCCTCAAAACCATACAATTTTTATGGAAAACATTTTTCTCTAAAATGCTTAGATTTTGAAAGAAAAGGGGTGTACGGGTGGTCTAGAACACCCTGTGTATATATATATATATATAAATTTAATGAGCTTTTTTTATAATATAGTACTTTATTAGAGGAGTACTGCAGTGTAGCAAAAAGATGAAACGCTCAACCGTTTTTGAGAACATTTATTTAATAAATACAAAATTCCTTATGTATCAGTAACTTTGCATCATTCCCCATGAAGGCAGCGTAGCGCGAGTACTTGAATCCGAAAGTATTACGCTACGAATTAGGGTTCGATTCCTATTTCCGATCTTTTTCCAATTTTTTAAAAATATAATTGAGCCACAAATTGTGTTTATTGTGTAACGGTCGTATTTTCGAACGTTTTTCTTAGCGCGGATCGCCGGTGCTGGGTTTCTTTAAATGAAAATACGCGGTGTGTAGTATAATTGCGTTTATTCAGATCGTATTAATGTGTGTACAGAGTTGGAGTGTGTATATGTGTAGACGAGTGTGTGAGCGTTTGTGTGATTATAAATGTTCGTGTATAAGTCGCGTGGTTCGTGTAATTATGCCGAATATTAACGCTGATTTAATTTCGGCCTCGTTTTCGCACGCCGGCGAGTGTTTACTATCGCGCGAGACGGCGCGCGTTTTTGTGGCGCTTTTTTTCGCGATGATTCCGGTATTCCGAGAATTCTTCAGTTCTCGGAATCGACGGGTATTTGCGCCGTATTATTTATTTCGTGGCGACGCGATTTAAAGTCCGCGTATAATTCTGATCTATGCGCTTTAATTCGGCGGCGTTTACGCGTCTATCGCTGGATGTCGAGAT